TGATCGCTGAATGGTCAGATGCTGACAAGCCTATTGGACTGATTGAAAGGTGATGTTGAGGATCTGACTCATGGGAAAAAAATCATACATATTTACTGGCCCATTTAAGATTGTCATCATTTATTCCATATTTATTTCAAATTTATTAAATATTTCGGTGAATCTATGATTTTAGAACTAAGCTTCCTTACAAAAGCCTAATGATGTTTTTTGTTTTTTTCAGGGGTGCTGAGTTAAAATTTAGAGATGCTTGAACACCCCAGAGGCTAAAATCGCCACTGCTAGTTAAGTACTGCTTACATATTGATTGCTTGATTTAGACTATTTTTAATGGGTGTCTGGAACACTTGGTAATTTGGTAGTCTGATTGTAAACCATCCTGAGCATCGTTGTAGAACCACCTACTGAACTGTAATGACTCCATGTCTCTCAATTAGACAGTTGGTTACACACTCACATGGGTTAATGATTAAAATCCTCTTAATCCTAATTTTTGTAACATCACCAACCATTTTATGATCTTTTTCTTCTCTCATATGGTGGGTTGTTACACAATTAGGCTTGTCAAGATTGAGCAGGGCCTGTATTCAAAGATCTCAAAGTGCTAATTAAAGAGGTGGATCTGTTTGATGTCTGGAGAGTTTATATCCTCTAGACAAACCAAACTCTCACTACTCTGCAACTCATCACTGACATTTCAGAACAGATTATTGAGTCATGAACACTGTAGACAGATATAGACAGTGAAGGAGTGCAAAGTACATCATATGTAACTGATCAGAACATCTCTTGTTTTGACTACAAAATAATGAATCAGCAGGAAATTAATAAAAAGAACCCTTAAAAAAAGCCTCTTTTTTTCCTGCATACCTCTTAATTGGAAGGATCAGCTGGTCTCTCAACAAAATAGATCAACTTCTCCCGACAGGAGTCAGGGTAAGGAGGACCCTCTACCTCAAAGCAACAAATTGGATTCATGATGACAACTAGATTCTACTGTTTGGTTGGTGAAATCTGGTTGTCTACAAATTTGTGTGGAGGTGAAGCTTGACAGTCCTCGGGCTGAATGTGGAGCTGTGACAGGAAATTGGAGCAGCTGTTATCAGGACTGTGATCTCCCTGGCAGCACTCATGAATGGTGGAATAATCTGGAGAAGCTGTGAGCTCGACTTTTGGAGTAAAGGATCAAGTCGGCTGTTTTGGAGTTTCCATCAGAGGAATATATACCAGCGAGACTTTAAAGGCAGAAACAACAATTCACGAGTTCTGCCTGACCCAAATTGTGGCCTTGACGCCAGACTTATCTCAACTCCTCCTGGAATGTTTTGAAAACAACAAAGATGCTTTGACTGTTTCCTCACCCCTCCCTTCCCCAAGGCCGTGTACATGTAACAGAACCTCAACTGAGCTGAAGATGAACGTCACCTCTTATCTGGACAATGGCTGAGGGGGGGCTCTGGACTACGCTACGACTTTCCCTTAAAAATTCAATGTTTTCACCGCCTATATGTAAATGTATAACGTCTGTTTATGTTGCTTTGCTGTGGTAGGTTTTTTTGATGCCTCAAATTGTGCCCTGTCTAGGACACGGTGTGAGAGATCTTTTTTTTATACCGACTTTCCTCATGTTTTCTTTCCTTTTCTTATCCAAGCAAAATATTATTCTGAATAAGAATAAGAAGGCCGCGCTAATTATTTATAGCCGCAGCTTCGTGCATTCCGCCCATCTTCGGACGACTGTACGTACATATTCGCATTGTATCTCGGTGCAATGCCAATAAAGTTTATTCTGATTCTGAAAAGAAACAAAGTCTTCATAGATAACAAGGACTGTTAAACAGAGCCAATTGTTGGATAGAATAAAATCAATATTATGAAAGAAATTTTATTTTAAAAAATTAACTGTTTGTTCGCCTGTCTTAGTTTGGAATGTGTGTATCACTGGGTTATGCTGTCTTCATTGAGGACATGCGTTTTTGGGTTATGGCATAGGTGTCGCAACAATTATATGAGAAGGGGCGTGTCCCCCTCACATTTAAAACAATATTCATTCGGACTCCCCACATTTACCATGATATATTAGTTAATCAGTACTGTTCTATTTCTTCATGAACGAATCCATTCCACTTGATTAATTGGAGAATACTCAAACCACTAAAAACAATCCACTCCGGGTTTTCCTGGTTACCTACAATTCCAAACAGCTTGCAGTGTTTTCCCGAGGTCATCTGCCTTGTCAGGGCGCTCACTGGGGGGACGAGGGGGAGACGCCTCTGTTTTGCACGCTAGCTTAGCACCACGTTAATGCTGGCAGTTGTTGACAGGGTGGGGGAGTTAGGATGTGTGAGAGAGGCAGAGTGCTACATCTGTAGCATCTTAGCTAACACATCTATATTGCACATCAGCTTAAGCACTAGCTTAGTGCTACATTAGTTCCGGCAGTTTTCAACGCAGGGTTTGGGGGACTAGGATGCGTGAGAGAAGCGGAATGTGCTTTATTCACACAAGGAGAGCTGTTGGTCAGGCTACTTCTTGTTGTACTATGCTCTCTAAAATAGTTAATGAATCAAGTGTTTACTTATGTAGGTAAACATAGATGTATAGCAGCCTGTTAAAATGCACCAGAATGCAGGAAATGGAATCTTCTTTATTCAAAATTTTCTGAGGAAGGACCACAGATCACACACCAGCATGTCCCACCCACATTACAAATGCTTCTGACGCCAATGGGTTATGGTGTCTGTTCATAACATGTTTGTAGCATGGGGGGTAGCTGTCCTGGTTTGGGAAGTGCATCATGTATATTCCAGAACTGAGACAAGCAAACCAAACAATAACTGGGTTTAGGCAGTAAACTAGATTTACCCATTTATTGGGGTCAGTTATTGATTTATGTTCAGTTTTTGAAGTGGGTTCAGCTTTTGGGTTAAGATGAATCCCCTTATATATAA